CAATTAAAAATCAGGACAAAAAGGTCATGTTACCTTTAGTTTCTTATTTCTCATTATGGAGACGAGATCCTAATTCATTTGGGAGACTGAAACCTTAATTCATTTCTCGTTTTTCTCCTTTTCAATTTTTAGACCGACTCTCACTTGAATACCAACTGTTGCCTATTGTCGTGCTTAGACACCACCCATGAATTTTTGAAATTGAAGACTCAACCTTTAGTTCTTCTTCCTCAAATGTACTCTCTCTCTCTCTCTCTCTCTCTCTCTCTCTCTCTCAATTAGTAAAGTTTCCATATCTTAAAAAAATCATTTGGTTCCATTATCAAAAAAATCATTGATTTATGGTTTGATTAGATTCTCTTGGAACCATATCATCCCTAATTTTTATGATTTATGTGGAAATCAATTCAAATTCAAGAAATTCATTAATATAACATTTTGAATCCATCAAAATTCTTGCAGACTGATGAAGTGCATAAGGGATTAGAGTTCATAGCGAAATGGGACCATCACTAGGGATGTCAAATGGGCCGAGCCGGCTCGTGGCTCGTCCGCTCGGCTCGTCAAAGCTCGGCTCGTGGGCTGACGAGCCCGAGCTCGAGCCGAGTGGGGGGTCGATTCCAACGAGCCGAGCCCGCTCGGCTAGTCGAGCTCGACAAGCGGCTCGTGGGCCGAGCTCACGCGTGGGCCGAGCTCACGAGCCGAGCCCACGAGCCGGCTCGTCCAAAAAAGTGGAAAAAATTAAAATTTTATCAATAAAAATTGAAAAATTTGCCCAAAAAAAAATTCACGAGCTCCCAAGCCGCTTGTGGGCTCGACTCGGCTCGGCCCGGCCCACGAGCTCGTGGGCCGAGCCGAGCTCGTGGGTTAACGAGCCGAGCCGGCTCGGCTTGGCCCACTGCCACCCCTAACCATCACAAGGCAAAAGTTGGCAAAAATGGCAAATGATTTCATGATGACTTTGGGTTTGCTCGTTTTTGGCAAACCGCTAGTCTAATTTGATTGGAGTCGAGCCAAGGAATAAAACTCAGCGCCTTTGGCCCTGATGCAAGGCCAATTTCGGGCAAAATCCATCGTTTAGGCCCTCGTTTAATCATTTTTGCTATTTATCGTAATTTTCATTTTTGCAATATCTCTTTCCATGAAATTCGGATTTAGATTCCGTTTGTTGTGGGATGATTCTGAATATAAGTATTTTCTATCTTAGTAATTATCTCATATTTTCCATTTTTGGAAAAAAATATCTTTTTATTTTATTTTTCGAATTTTCCTAAGTTTTTCTTCTATTTAATCAGTTGTAAACTCTTAGAGGCAGTAGTTCTTGAATTCAATAAAATTTTCTTTGAGAATTTTCTCAATTTGTAATTGTTCATCTTCCTTATAATATTTTCGTTACATCAATTGGTATCAGAGCCGAAATCGTTCCTTCACCATGCCGCCAAGAAGACGTCCTGAAGCCCGTGATGCCCCGGTAGAGGAGATACATAGATGTGATGAAGTCGCACAGCTACGTCAACAAGTGGAATTACTGACACGGCAGATCGCTGCGCTTATGCCGCAGCAGCCTGTGCCTGCAGGTCAATAGCTTGGGAATTCTGATGATGAGAATCCATTTGCACTGCTTGAACAACCATTGGATCTTCCAGTTCACCGGAGAAGGGGTGGTCATGAGGACAACCGACGTTGGGAATCAGGATTTAAGGTGGATATTCCAGAATTTCATGGTAGGTTGAGTCCAGAAGAATTCTTGGATTGGGTGACTGCAGTGGAGGAGGTCTTAGAGTTTAAAGATGTTCCTGTCGATAAATGTGTGCCTTTCGTTGCAACGAGACTTCGTGGGCGAGCATCGGCACAAGAACCACATTCCTTAAAGTATACCTGAAAGGCAGCCCCAACAAGATAGGGAAAAACTGCCTTGGAGGCTGGATTATAAATAGGCCTCAATGAGTTCCTGAAATTGATTCCTGAGCTCAACCAATCCCCTTAACTAATAGATGCTTAGGACCCACTGACCCTATACAAATTATCCAAATTGAATGGGTTTTAGTTCTTTAAAGATCTCTTAATTCCGTGAAGCAAAAAAGGAAGCACGAGCCCCCGAATTCGTAGGAATGACAAGAACAAGAACTACAAGCTACCCAGCTCTTGGCTTGGTAATGCACTCGGGAGGATTCCTATGGGAGGGAGAAGAGGTGGGTCTCACTATGGTTAGCTCCGACTCCTTCTTCACTTTACCCCTTATACGAGGCCTTTTTTAAAGCCGTTTGGTAAAGAAAAGAACATCAGAGTGATTCTATTTGATACTTACCAGGTATCTCAGA